CAGATAATACAGCAAAAAAAAAAAAAAAAAGCTTTTGCTTACTAAGCAAAAATTTTGAAGAAAAAGTAAAGCATTTTAAAAATGCACAAAAAGTGATTGCTGCTCAACAACGTCAGTGTTAACAGAACAAAACTTAAAAACAATGAGTGAAGATAGCGGTAGTAAAATATCTGTAGTTCTTCAAGAAACACTGATACAGGCGAGAAAAGAAGAAAAAGTAAGGAAGAAAAAGAGAAACAAAGATACAAAAAACAGACCTGTAAAAATAAAAACCTCCTAAAAAAGTTATGAAAAAACCAATAATTATTCAATAAGGACTGTAATAATTATCAGAAGTCTTGAAAAAAAAAAAAAAAAACGAAAATTTCCCAACGAGCCTAAAGCAAAATACAGCAACAAGATGAAGGATTCTGATTTACTGTGTTTGCCAAGAGTGATGACTTCTCCTGCTGCAGTCAAATTTACAATAGACCAGCAGAACTTTCGCTAAGCGACTAGAATGAAGAATCTAAAACCAATAAATTCTGATCATGCTAAATATATAACATAAATCTCAATTATTCTTGAATCAAAAACGCAGAGAATAAACGGTAGAAAACAATTGCTTCAGTTTTCTTACTTACGGATTCTCTAGCTTCTTACAGGTCTAAGAATCGCCAAAGCGTTCTTAAAATATTAAAAAAAAAAAGCCAAAAGAATTGTATACATGCAAATGTGCCTGTATTTGAAACACTTTTGAGTCTATGATTCTGTATATTTTTGTGAGCGCACATAAACCCCACCACTCCTTCGACTTGACTCAACAAATACCACCATATGCGCACGAACATGTGTATCTATACGCACATATATGCATCCGTACAGGAATGGCACATAATGAGCGAAAAACATGTAAAGTCTGACAACTAGTTCTAAAAAACTTTTCAAATTCACTTACTCGGAATACCAATACGTTGAAGACGAAATTTTGATCTTCAGCCTTCCTTGCTTCACTTTCCACTACTCTCTTCAGCTCTCTGCGCCTTCAGAATCATCCTCCTCTCAAAACTGTGATCTCTGTCCCTCCGTAAGCACATTAGACGACATTGAAAAAAAAGAGTTCAGAAGTAGACTTCTAATAGAGAATAACAGAAAGTAATAATACAATCACAATTTTCTCAAAAAAACAAATTTATTTCTCCACT